GCCTACCTCTCCAATATCCAAGAAAACCAGGGGATGTAAAACATCATCAGAATCATATCTCATGTTGGAAATGACATGGCTCTGTGATGGTTATTGCCATGAGGGAATCATAAGATATAGAACATATATAAAGCCATTTCAAAGCGTATAGCCCGGCTTTGGGCTGACTATACAAGAGACCCACACAGAAGACTTGAAAGGGAGATGAAGGAGATGACTCAATCCATGTGTGCGTATTTGGTTGGCAGAGAACACACACACACAATGTTAACACATATTATTAGGTGTAGAAACACACAGGAGACTAATACGTTTGCATTGAAATTATAACTAAAATAGTGTGCAGTGGCGCGTGTCTTCATAAATTCAGGTTTTATCACAAGTCACGACAGACCAGTTCTTATTCAATAAAATATTGCAAGGCCGGGGTACATAGAGATCATTTATTAAATAATGAAGAAAATAAGGGTTTGAGAGCTCATATTCAAATATAAATCCCAGTATACTGCCACTGCCTCGCCTCACATTAGCGATCTATGTTAACATACAATATTTCTTCAACCTGATTTAAATCATTCTGATTATGTATCCCTATTGACTGCTTGCATGGACACATAAATAAAGTGAACGGATCAAGACATATATGCATCAATCATATGCATGTAATCTCTTTTTCTTGAGGATGCTCAGGTCTTTTGATGTGTGCAGTGAAATGTTGAAAATGTTCTATTAGTCAGTGGTGGAGAGTAGGCTTGGGCAGTATCAATGTATTCATACCGTCTTGCCATTTTAGCAGGGTATATGACAGTATTTGTAAAAAAAAATATATATATATATATTCCGTTGTTGTAGCAATAACATTCACAGTTCATCACCTGGTTGCCTACCTAGGTTTTGCTTTAGCTTAGTTTTTGACGGGCTCAGCAGCACAGAGAGCAAAGCCGGACAGCTGGATTGCCAAGACAAAGGAATTCCTGTGGTATTTTTACAGATTCACTCGCGACAGCGCAAGATATTATGTATGTGGTATAAAACCGTTTAAAACACAAAAAGAAACACACACATACGGTAATTTTTCTAAACTTTCAACACGGGGTGTTTTATTCAGGAAAATAACCGGATGTTTTAATATTGTATATAGACATGAACAACGCATTATCAGATTTACTAATGTGGGCATGAAGCTGCAAGGAGGACCGAAGACTGGTGGAGCTATTACTGCCACATTCAGCAAACCAATAAGACATTGTTTACCCGCCGCAGTACTGTGTTAACCACCACTCAGTTTAAAACGTGACACAACTGTAAGACAATAACTGCACAAGATATACTTCACCTACGCTTATATAAATTCTGACGTTTTAATCAGCACATACAGCAACAGAAGCTTTAAGTAGCAGTTCCCACTTGTAGCAGTCTCACATGGGGGCTGCCACAATATGTCTTGTTACAACTACAAAATTACAGATTTCTCTGGTGTTGATAATTGTGGTAATATTTGATAAATATATTTTAGTGTAAGATTCTACTACAATTCTACATATTGTGCTTTTAACATTAACAGCATTTTTTTTTTTAACTCTTCTCTACTTCCATTATGGCTTTTTTTTGTTGTCCCTTCCTAAACCCATGTGACCAATATTGTTTGTTTTCTAAGACAGTTTTAATTCTTTCAGTCCAATTTCTTTTAAGGTCTCCTACATTTGTGTTCCTGGAGCTAACAGTGTAGCATTATGAACAAATTAAGAAATAAAACTAAAAAAAGGATATGAAGGTTTTGGATGGATTATGATTATGAATTAGAAAATTATCCAAGGTATAAAACATTGTGTTTTTTCCTTTTTTGCCTCTATACTCTTTCCTCGCCCCTTTTCTGCCGTTTCCTTTGTACTACTCTGTCTCCTCGAAAGTACCAGCTCAGTCTTTTGCTGACAACCAGCCACCTGGACAAGCTTCAAAGGCGAGGAGATGTTGGTGTCAAAGAAATTAAAGTGTTTATCGAGATAGTTTGAAATTACAGGAGTGTCCGAGGGTGTGAATGTTTGTCTGTGCTTTGGTGAGAGAACAAGGATGAGTGTGTGAGGGTGTCTCTCAGAAGTCAGCACTGCATGCAATGTTTATCCACCACATATTGAGCTGTGCTGACCAGAAAGCCCCACCGGGGGCCGTTGGACCAGCTGGTGCAAAACTGGCAGACATACACAGCCCTAAACACAAACACCTTTCTCTCTCTCTCACATACATCATTCTGTGGCAACAATTCCATTTCACTCCTCTCTTCCACCTTACGCCTCATCAGTCATATTATAATTAGCCGTGCTACGTAATTAACATCCAAATTAGGACCATAATTTGCATATTCACCCTTAATTGCATTTATTTCCAGCAGCAAATTACACCTTAGTCCTCCACACACTACTACCAGAACAAAGCACAAGGGTACTCTTGTCTTTTTCAACAGTGTCCCGCCATCATCACTCTTTGACATATAGAAAATGTGTAACTTACTGCTATGTGAAGCATCAGAAAACAAAAACTGGAAAGGAGGGAGGTTGAGTGTGTTTGAGTAAAGGTACAACAGGAGTAAAAAAAAAAGAAAATCAAACCAGGATAGGGAAGAGAAGGAATACAAATGGGAGAGAGGGGCGGTAATACAGGTAGTCTGGATACTGTGAGAATGTGACACTCTCAGATGAGAAGACTGCCTCACTATTTGTACATCTCACTTAAGCCCAAAAAAAAACGTAAGAATTGCTATGGCTATAAAGAGAAAGAAAGAGATTGAGGCCAGCTCAAGCTTGGAAAAAGAACAGAGAGGGAGAATGACGAAACACTTCTTCTCTCCCTCTTTGTCTCTTCCTGACATTTGCCCTCTGAATGGCATCAGCTCAACAGAGCGGCGCAACCTAACATTGATGTGGACTCAAAGGAAGAGAGACAGAGAGCGAGTCAGGGAGAAACCCAAGTGAAAAAGCAGAGGAAAGAAAGAGAACAGAAGGGGCGTGAATGACAGTAAAAAGGAAAAGAGAGACAGTAACGGCAAAGCTGCTTGTTTTCACAAGTCATTGCACAGAGGAGAAAACGTGAGTTATGCTTCCTTGTTCCACATTGCTTTCACAATTTATGTACTGGCAAGAAAAAATGCAGCTAAAAAGACACCCATAAATCTGATCTTGTTTTCCTTTTTTTATTCCTAAAATGTATCTTGCAGTGCCCCTCTAACCCTCTCATTCTGTGTTCTTTGGCATTTCTCTGCTCTGGCCTTCCTAACTTCTTATGTAAAGGTGTTCTGCAGCAAGTCTTTGTCTGATACTACTGTATTCTGCTGAGCTTGTAGAGCTTGGAAATATCTACACACAAAAAAAGCTCACTCTCTGTATCTCCTGCAGTGAGCAAACACTCAGCCAGCACACAGTGGCCTTGATCTGTTCCCTTTTAAAAGGGAAATAGCTGTAACAATACCATGTCTTATTGAATTTAAGGGAAAACAGTGTTGTTTTTTTTTAATGGGTCAAAGCAAATCCAGCCAGTTCATAATGTTTGGTTGCATAATACACTCAAGATTATGCAAAGCCTAGTTGACACATCACATTCACCTTTGGCAGTTGGATGATTCATTGAAATCTCCAAAGAAAAACAACTTCTTCTCGAAATTAAGTCTAATGCTAGTTAGACTTCCCAATGGCTCACAGCCACATGAAGGTCTCTTATAAGCAGGAAAGAAATTATAATGTTTGGTTGACTGCAGACAGAAAGTCAGCCCTGCACTCTCACTCTGGAGACCCAATTAATACCAATGTAAACCGCTGCTGCCCTTACAGGCAAAACCAGTACACACTGTTTGTGAGTGTGTGTGTGTGTGTGTGTGTGTGTGTGTGTGTGTGTGTGTGTGTGTGTGTGTGTGTGTGTGTGTGTGTGTGTGTGTGTGTGTGTGAGTGTAAAAGAGAGTCAGAGAGAGGAAGATGTAAGGGTATCACAGGGTGAGGATTAGGCTGAATAAACCGCGCTGAGTATGGATGATATCCAAAAAGGCTTTAAGATTATACCGCAGACTGAAATCACCCTCACATAACAACCAAACAACTAATCAGAAGTATTAACTTGACATACTCAATAAATGTCCTTTTGATGGTGTTAATCAATTTGCATATCAAGTCAACTGGGTCATGTAAGGTTGCCTTTAAGACATGAGGCTTAAGGGCGGTGAGTCTTCAAATCACCTTAGAGGGTGAAATTGACTCTTACTTGCGGACATGTGAAGTCATGTTAAGTTTGTTAGGTGTCCATCATCAAGCTTGTAAGATTTATCATCATTGATGAATTTTTTTTAAATACCAACTGTTCTTTAGTTCTCAAAATGTTAGGGTTTTTTGCCTAATGTATTGTTCATTAATTAATTCATTTCAATTCATTAAAAAAATAGCAGCTGGTGTTTTTGACACTTTTATGCCATATACATTTTCTCAAAACAGTCAATATTATGATTGTCCCCTAGTTTAATAGGCTACATAAATGACATCTCTTGGGTTTCAGTGTGAGCTCTAGCCTCCTTAAAGATTGTTTTTTTTAACAGTCCTGTCTTCATATGGCCTCAAGCAATCATACAATAAATCAGCCTAAGAGTAGAAAATAATGATCTTGTTGCAGACCTTAAAGTTTACATTATGGTTGTTTCAGTCACTCAGCCTTTTATCAGTTTATTTCAACCTGCAACACAGACGCTGTAAAGTCCCTCCAAACTGAACACCTGTCCTATTAACTAACGTGTCCCCCATTCCCTGAACTTTCACTAAACAGTCAATAAATCTCCAGAACATCAACAGGTTTTCACTGAAAATGTAATTTCAACTTAGCTAGAGTCAGACAAAAAAACAAAAAAAACAACCAAGTTTTCTGACGGTCCGTAGGCGCTCTCCTTTGCCAACTTGTGCAACTCGGACACGATAAAGCGACCAAACATTCCGATGCCAAGTACATTTATTTCTTCATCATGTTCCTACCTTTTCCGCCGACAGCGCAGGAGTGGCCCCACATGAGCCAAAACAGCAAAAGAGGGACCCCGAGTGTCTCCATGGTGGTCGAGTTGTGTGGCTGATGTCTCGCAGTTCCCCTCTTCAGAAATCCTGGATCTCCTCCCCGGTGCGAGGATCTCGTGTACTCGGTGGATAGAGAGACTGTCAGCTGGTGTTGTAAGCAGAGAGAGAGAGAGAGAAACGCTGACGTTTAAACAGCGTCAATAAAACATTTATATCCGGTCAGCGGCTTTCAAAATAAAATGTATATCAACTGATTTCTATTTTAAAAAAAGATTAACGAAAAGGGTTGAATTCACGAAAAGTGAAAATTGCAGTATTTATTTGTATTGATAAAAACGCAGACCATCTCTCTATTGAGAATTGGTGCGCAAACAGATTTCCCCCTAAGCATGACAGGTTGTATGATTTTATGCTGAAGATGAAAACAACTTTTTGAGCAAATACATCTCGAGTCGTGTGGTGCGCTTGACAAAGCTGCTGTCAAAGAGAGAGAAGCCAGCAAGTGTTGGAGAGGTGGGGAAGTATGAGGGGGAGGTCTGTTTAAGATGAGTGTGAATGCGTTGGGTAGGTGCTAAGTGGGGAGAATTTGATTTTGACACCCCAGGAAATGAGAAATAGCAACCACTGACTGCATACCCCTAAGGAAATACAGCTGTACATATTTCATAATTTCAATAAACCCCATGCTAAAGCAAGTTATAACACCAGCAGCTCACAAACAGCTGACACTGAAGCAATGACTAAGTGAGAGCATCAAAATAACATGTGCACACAGGGAACATCAATTAAAATGATAAAAGGCTTTATATCTGGTTTACCAACCTTTGCCACTAGTGACACTCAAAATAAGCTGAACTGTTTCTGTTTACTAATTGGGACTATTTAAACCATTCAACCATTCCTTAATTCTTCTTTAACTGTACCATTGTAATTGCCTGGAGAGGTCAAATCCAGCTACCCAGTCATTTGACACTGACATTTTCTTTTGCTCATAATAATAAAAGATACAAGATGAGATTTCCTCTTAGATCCATAGCCACATGTTGTTGATGCCTACCTGCTGGCTATAGACAGACAAGTTAGCAATGTGTATTCTTAATTGTTTATTTGCAGATACCCTTCATAAACTGCCTGCTAACTTACTTTGAACATTTTTAAAGAAATATCCCTAATTTAGAAAAAAACGTCGACGGCATATTTCTTCATTTTCATACAGCTTTCATAATCAAATGAAACAGCTGCCACAGAAAGCTGTTTTTGTTTTCAAACTGTATCCTCCTAACAAGAACCGAACAGCTCAGCCATCCTCCCCCACACAGATTTGAGTTGTTCAGTTTTTACCCTGTGGCACAATCACTGGTTTTCTCTAACACCCGTATGTTCTTCAATTATTCCCCCGTGCTTCGTCTTCTACTGGGTGTGGGTGTGTGTTCGGGGATTATAGAGAGGGAGTGAGGGCAGACCTCAAGTGAGTTAAGAGGATAACAAAGATAGAGTGCATACACACATGCAAACACATGCAAGACCACATTTGCATGCACTTACAGTCAATTGTACACACACATACTTCCCAATTGGCTGTTGTGGCAGCTAAGTTACAGCAAAGCAGAGACACATGAAAGATGGTGCAGTCAGCAGACTGTCCCTACCCATGGTCTAACTTTAAAGTCACAAACCATCAGGAGTATAGAGGACACAATTATTGCTCAGTAGTAAACTGGTTGCTTTTTGTCTTTAAACTTTTATCAGCATCTGTATTCTCCAGCCCAAACAGTTCACAAATTATACATTATTCAAAAGGTATATTAATTCTGAATCATTCATCTTTTTTATAAACAGACTGATTAATTAGAGACAGCATCCTCCCTTTTATAAGAACTGTTTTTTTTTTTAAATAATTTATCTTAAAAAGCACAATCTGAACAAATGCCAACCATTCTCTTAGTAGGTTTATGTAAACATGAAAATGTCCATTTAAACTGACAAAATCTAAGTTGATTTCCTATTAAATTAATAACCCACACCCACCCCCACACACAAATAACAACAACAGCCCTGTTCTTGCATCATGGGCTCTCCACCTGAGCACCAAGCCAAACTGCTCAGACTCCCTTCCCCCCAAGGCCACAGTATAATCAAGTCTTCAGTGCAACTCATCAGTATTTTTTTAAATAAATCTCCTCTTCTCCTTCACCCTGTCAGTCTTGCTACAGGGTCCTGTTATGTACACATATCCCAACACTTACATACTTAACAATTTACATATAGTACTTCTTTTCAGAGTTTACTCTATACTCCCTTATACATTTCATCTGTGATACTTTCTTGAACCTTGACATACAGTACGCTATTCTTGTCCCTCTTTGGCAAAGCAGAGTAAATTGAAAACATATTAGCAGTACATCCATTTCTTCATCTGCTGCCAGCTGCACTACACACAGTCAATTAGGGATCGACAAAGCTTCTCCTTTTCGCCTGACAAGCAGTTAGCATCAGCGGACTGAAAGGTTACCCGGAGCATGTAGGTGTTTGATGCTCCACTTCTGTAAAGGTCAGCTACTAATTATTGCAGTTTTTTTTGCTGGAAAGAAACTCAGTGGCACAAAAACACGAGAGACTAACACTCCTGTGCATCTTAACTGTATGTTATTACAGATACTAACAGGCTGCGTGTCCTGTGCATGTCAGGACCATGGAGAGCTCCTTCACTTTCACTCAGAATAAGCGTCATCCAGCAGCGGGCGCAGTTGAGGCCAGTTTCTCTGAGCGGAACCATCGAGCTTCTCGGAACGGGGGAGTGTAAAAAGTGTAACACGCTGAGCTAAAAGCAACAATGTGAAAAGAAGGTAATCAAATTAATTGAAATTCATACTTTTAACGTGGGGAAATGTATAATTTGACATTTTATATCAACTACTGTTCATTTCATTTAAACAGTGTTACGAATGTGTGTTTTGTCGCTTTGTGCGTCTGTAAGTTTTACGAGGCTAATTCATCGTAGCTGCTTTTTCAATGTCAAGACTTCGTTTATAGAACATTATGTGCCCTCCTCTTACTGATATGTCGTCTTACTCCTAGTTTTTACGTCTCACTGCATGAAACGCTTGGTGTCATTTCTGTTATGAAAAAGGTGAGAGTCTCCGCTCTCGTGTGTTCATCATGCACCTGTCATCCGTACACTTTGTTTTGACTAATAAAGTTTGCTGCAGGAAGTTTCCACGATTGAAAAAAAAGGGTCATCTCCATCAATGCAGTGTTTAAATGCCATTTCGAAAAAAAATATTTGGTTTCTTTTGGATGTTATTATCTTAAGACATGGAGCCCACACATTAGATAATAAACTACAAAAGTCTTGGAGGTTAATCCATTAAAAAATGACTATAAAGAATGAGATAGTCTGGTTATACAAATAACTGCTGTGGAAGTCCTAAAAGTAGAGTGACAAATAACCTAGTCACGTCTCTTTAACAAACACATGATCAGATATATTAAGATGTATCTTGCCAGAGCTTTTATTGGGTTATTTAAAGTCTTGATTAAGGCCCGGCAAGTTTATTTACAGAGCACAATTCATACATTAAGCGATTCAAAATGCTTTACAGAGTTAAGGCATTATACTGCGCTCCCTTTAAAAACAAGTTAATTTAATGTTTTTTTAATTGTACTTTAAAACCTGCTGCAGAGCCTGTTTTTTTTTTATTTAACCATATTTGGATCTAATGCGTTGACGGGGATTGTTCAAAGCTTGTTTCTCATACAGGTACACAGTAAGACCAAATAACACTACAGTGTTTCTCAACCTTTGGTGACTGACTGTGGCAAAGTGCCACCATATTTATTGTTGTTGTTTGTCATTTCTTTGGGTGTCCTAGTGATAAATGGGCTGAAAATGATGATAATAAAAACTACCACCAAATGACAAATAGTTTTTTGTTTTTGTTTTTTTTGGTTTATGCAACTGAGGCAACCTTAGCCGATTTATTTGTAAGTAAAAACTGACTTTCGGATACGTAAAACTTTTCTGCACAGCTCCCTGTGGAAGGTTCTGGCAGAGGAATGTCTTTAACTGCTTTTACGTTCTAGTTCTCAGTCTATTTCTTATGTATTCATATTCTCCAAAGTCAGTATTAAAAACACAGAATTTGTAATTATTCACATAAATCTTATTTTTTACCTCCTGCATACCCATACCTTCAAAACCAGCATCACTGGTAAGAGCCATAACGGTTCTCTTTTTCTTACTCCCATAATGTCAACAACTTTGTCTTCTGTTTTACCCCCAAGGTTCTTCAACAGTGAAGTGGGAGGTTAAAGCAGGGATGGCGACTCGCCGTGTGCCACTAGTCCTGCTGGCCTGCGGCTCCTTTAATCCCATCACCAACCAGCACATGAGACTGTTTGAACTGGCCAGAGACCACATGCACAGCACAGGTCAGATCCCGACTTCACAGATGCTGTGTTTGCTTTGTTTGTGTGTTTTATTTAACTTTACAGATGCCCTGTAGGGTCACAGCTCCTCCTGATGAAGCTTTTGATAATGCCCAACATTTGATATTCTTTTTTTTAAGTTGTATTTTGGGTCAGTTCACCTTTATTGGATAGAACAGCTGAAGAGAGCCGGAAATAGTGGGAGGAGAGAGTGGTGGATGACATGCAGCAATGGGCTAAGGGCCTATTTGAACCTACAGCTGGACTATAGCCTTTGTACATGCCACATGGGATGTGTGAAATAACCACAAAGCTATCCGGGTACCCCCAATTATTATTATTTTAATTAACAGTGCATCGCGTGATAATGTGCACAGTGAGAGAGAGAGGTTGATCATAGTAATTAGCCTAAAGAGAGTTATGACCTTACTCTGAAGCATTACTAGCTCATTGTTTTTCTTTTATGGTCTACAGATTTACTGTTTGGCTTCGCTGTTTCATCAAAATTTGTAACAGCAGCAGCAGGCAGCTGCTACCTGCAAACACGCCTTGATAAACCTACTGTCTCTGATCCTTATAGCTCCAAACAAACACAGTAAGAGCGAGGCTGTGGAAGAAAATGTAAAGTTAAGTTACTGTTAATGCACAGATTTATTTAACGAGCCGCTTGAATATAAATGCTCAAAGGAGGATAATACGTGCACTGGCATTCATGACAGATGTCGTAAATATAATGAAAAATCAAAAAAAGACATCCAAATAACACGAATAAGTAAAGAAAGCAGAACAAGATCTTCACCCCAAGAAGCTCCCGTGTGAAGGATTTATTAAGTGACGGGAGCTCCTAAGTGTCATAAGTACAACTCCAGATGAATGCCTCTGTTCTGTATGATGCTCTTTGTAGTCCTAACCCAATATTTCTGATGCTGAAGACCAGTAGCGGCTCGTGCATTGTTCCCCAGGGAGGGCACAATTTCTCACTGATCGACAGGGACGTATATCTCAGTAAGCTTGATGCTAAAACTTACCGGAAAATGCTATTAACTGGCTAACCAAATTAGCATTGTGATAATCTTGGTAAAACATCTATTTTACCCAGCAAACTCAACAAACAACACCATATGCACTCATACTTAAAGGAAAAAGTTACTTCAAACCAGTGGAGACATACTTACAAAATGCTAACTTGTGTTTGTCTGGTCTGCTTCCTGCTGCTCTGATTCATCTTTATAAACAGTCAATGCTTAGATCAAATGACACTTGCTCTTTATGTCTCAGTTCATGGGACATGTCCCTCTTCTGCCTACGTTTGGTTGGCAGTGTGTAATGCATTCATGAGCGCATTTTGGAATGGAGTCCTGCGCCCCGGAATCACCAATCAATGACTTTAGAAAGATAGAGCGTTTTTCATCTATGTATATTGCAGATTATAAATTTAACTCAATAACTACACAATAATAACTTTACCATTTTAAAATTGTACATGTATGTATATCCTTTATTGAAAATGTAATAAGTTTGAATAATCTTATTCAGTGAAGGTCTGTTATTCTCTTTGTGGGGAGTAGGTGGGCGGTGCCCTAGCGCCCTCTATTGACTATAGCCACCACTGCAGGTTCACACCTAATTTGCACTTCCCTTGTACTTGTATGAATTTAAAGCTCATTCGCCCTCGGCTAAGTTTCTTGACATGTGTGACCACTAAGTCGTATGTAACAATCGTGTCAGCAGACACAGGCTACTCACTAAACCCCGGCCAATTCACTTCCAAAGCTGCTCTTAGTTAGAGAACTGCCTGGTCACATGTTCATAATGACAACGTTATACCTTTAGAGCTATATCGCCCCTGAGTCAGCTCTCTCTAAGGTACTTTAAAAGCATTATTTATGTTCCTGCCAACTCAAATGCTCCTCTGTGCATGCATTCATAGAGTTTCCAGTTGACCCCTCACCAATAACAGATCAGCTGACTGATTCCAGGGTGATCAGAAATTCTGCTTTTATCATGCCTGTTGCTGATTGTCTTGGCTATAGAAGCAGATGCAAATACATCTGCTTTTTATAAACTAGGGTGAGCAATATTTACAACTAGTTTCTCCTACAAAAATTCAGATTGTTTTCATACTTTAGTAACCCATTTATTAAAGCAGTTTCTAAACCAATAGAATTAATATCACAACATGAGCTGTTGAAGTATATATTTTTTTTGCCTTTATCACTCAGTTTAAGCGATTGTCCTGTACTTTTAGAAAAGTACTGATATATGAACACCAGTATCTCTATGAGATGACTCTATCTGCTGATTTACATTCCATTTCTGTATCGTCTGACATGACCCAGAAAATGTGTTTTGATCCTCTCTTCCCTCAGGCCAGTACCAGGTGGTGGGTGGCATCGTGTCTCCAGTGAGTGACGGTTATGGAAAGCAAGGCCTGGTACTGGCTAAGCACAGAATCGCTATGGCTAAGTTGGCGCTGCAGAGCTCAAACTGGGTCACAGTTGATGAATGGGAGAGCCAACAGCCAGACTGGACAGAGACTGTGGTGACCATGAGGTATAAAACCTAGTCAGAGCACCATCAGAGTTAAAAGAAAAGTGATTCTTTGAGACAATAAGGCTGAATGTATCAGGAGAACATGCAGAGGACTTTGGGATTGAACTCAGCCTTCAAGAGGAATATTTGTTTCTCTTCTGATGCGTCCTAGTTTTACCACAGAACCAGCACCAGCAGAGTTCTGGGAGATGTACTCTCCTTGGCTGCTCCTCCATCCGTCCTGCTGCGTGCCAACCTCAACCGATTATTAAACAGAGTGTTGCCAGGCTCCCTGAGTCTCAATTACAAGCTCTGAGTTGCCAGACCAGACTGGACCCTCGTCAGGTCTGGGTTTTCATGAGGTGAAATCAGGGGCACAAGCTGCTAAATTCATTGGCTAAGTCGGATTTGTTGATATGCAAAGGGCTGTCTGGGCTCATGAATATGGGGGTGAAAGAGGCAGCAGAGTTAATCTGAATGATATATGAATATCTCAGTATTGCAGAAGTTTTCAGTGCAGCAATAGGAAATGTATTTGCAGATTGGTTTTATTGAGGTTTTCCCTTAGGGAATTAATCTTATATTTCACACACACACTCTGTGTGTAGTTTGACATTTAAGATTATTTAAAAAAGGTATCTCACTCTTGTTTCATTACATTTCTTCCATATTTCACTCTCCTTCTTGTCCACACTGCTGACAAAGCCCCTTTATGATTGCATCTCAGCCAGCCCCCACATGTTTGTGCAACATGGGTGATTATCAAGGCATGAAATGGCCTCTTGTCCGGAGGCATTGACGAAGCCATGTCACACGTAACCTTGCTCTCTAATGCATAAACTGCACACACGCAAATGGACTCACACATCTTTTAAGAAGCTTAACATGAAAACAGTGAAGTTTTTCATTCATCTCTCTTACATGTTCCTGTGTGACTCGTAGATTATTATATGTAACCATTGCAGATAGTTTGATGAAGCTTGACTTAAATTGAAAGAGTAACATGAATAATGAATGTACAACAGCTAGTGGTTAGTGGTTACATCAGCAAATAAATGGAGAAATATTCAATATGAAAATGGAATAATAAGGTACTTTTTTGTTATGTAGGATATCAAAGGAATACATTCTCAGCCTTTCTGTATCTGTCATTTGTTCTGTCTTTTGGGCAGGTATCATTACGGGCGTATTCTGAAGGAGTATGAAGGGCATGTTGAACAAGACGACTTCAATGGAAATTCTATTTCCCTCCCAAGTAAGAACCTCTTCATGTTGTGAATTCAGGATTTGTGTTGTAATGGATTTCTTCTCATGTTTGAATGGCAGTGTTGGCTGGTCTGTCCACTGGTTTGGTCCAGATGTAATTTAAATAGAAATAATGCAATAACTTTCAGGTGTATTACCTTCAAATATTCGACACACTGTCACCAGCAGGTCAACGCTCGACTTTGTCCAATACTGTTGGTTATATCAGAGTTATTGCTTATTAACACGTGTTTACATGTAACATACTGCACACATTCTGAACATGGTTAACAGTGTACCAGGACAATAAGCCTGTTGGCATTATTGTCATGTGCTTGTGTGCATATGTATGAACAGCATGTATGAAAACTGTGTTTTTTTTATAACTGAAGGCTGGCCAATCATCGTCAAGGAACATTCTCTAGGGTTATTCGTGAATTGTAAAAATATATACAGTATTATATGTTCATATTCATTTTTAAAAAATGTTCTGATGTTTTGTTCACAAAGAATGTATGTTTGCTTTGTTTGTCTCTCTTTTTTACTCTGCATTGTCTTATTTTCACAATGTGTACAGCAGCCTGCACCATTAGGTAAACATAGAAACCCAGCAGTGCACTGTGCAACTCCAACCCTATAAATAAAATGATTATTACAAAAATATACATAATGAATAAAATAAGCAATCTTATGATATATCTATCTTTCCCATTGAGCTCATGGCTTTCATTTTTCCATATGGGAGTTCATTTTTATACAGAAAAGGTGAACTAGTTGGTAATGATGTTTAAAAAAAAAAAAAAAAATTTGTTTTTATTTTGTTTTCTTTGTTTTCGTATGTTTTTTCCCTGTTAAACTTTCTTTAAATCAAGAAGCATCATAAAACATCTTAAAGAATAAAACTGAAAACCAGCATTAAACTGAAAAGAACACATGTGAAGCAGTCGTTCTGTCCCTTGCTGCTTAGAAACCTCCCTCAGTCGCTTTAGAAATGTTAAACTGACCGACATCTTAGCATCTTTTTTCATGCAGCCTTCGTGTAGAACATATATCATGCCATGTTTTATCCTGTCCGTGGTAAAACGTTCAAGGAAAGCGCAGTAAAGACGTACACAGTGTCTTCCCCATCTTATCCTCCTTTCCCTCCAGGCCCCCGCCCCCAGCTGAAGCTCCTCTGCGGAGCTGATTTCCTCGACACCTTCAAGATCCCCGGCCTGTGGCAGGACGACCATGTGGAGGAGGTGGCTGGACGTTTCGGTCTCGTCTGTGTTAGTCGAGGGGGTCTTCAACCCGAGCGAGCCGTGCACGAGTCAGACACCCTTTCTCGCCACAGTCAAAACATTTTCCTGGTGAGGGAGTGGGTGAGGAATGAAACGAGCGCTACCGAGGTCCGGCGAGCTCTTAGACGTGGTGTGAGCGTGAAGTACCTGATCCCAGATTCTGTGATAGATTATATTCACCAGCACAACCTCTACACGGAGGACAGCGAGAGGACAAACGAGGGCATGGTGCTGAGGCCGCTCGCCAAACAGGCACAACAGCCTGTGAAGAGTCTGGATGACTGATAGCTAGAAGGCTGATCATGAGAGACTCTGATGTGTGAGTTCACCCACAGATCAGTGCTTTTCTTCAGGGATGGGAAGCTCTGTTTAATTCAACCTGACTGCAGCGGGATAGAAATGTACACAAGCTGCAAACATCTATAAAGAAATAATAGTTTGCCAAAAACAAAATTCACCTGATTTCAGTTAGAAAAATCTAAACAGTGGGAGGCTTATTTTAAATAACGCCCAGCAAGAGTGCAAAATCTGAGCCCCGTCTTTGTGCCAGCATATGAAAGAACATTTTTAGCAGAAATGTTTTCATCATTTATAGCTTTATTCATTGCACATTTAAATAAAATCCTGTATATTTAAAGATTTCTGTCTGATGAGTGTTTTTTTTTTCCCTTTCCAAATCATGAAGACAATTCTCCCTCAAAAAGTTTGTACAATACAATACACCTACAAGGGTTTTATAGTGCTGACAAAGTCACTTTATATTCTGACTGTTTGTGAAACGTGGAATAAGGTGCATTAATCCATCATAATGTTAAGGAGTTGTCATATTTTGCTGTTTTAAAGCCGTGTGCTTCTGGTAGAGAAATTCTGTGTTCTAACCGTTCTTTAATGTCACCATGTTTCTTTGTATATATGTCCCATTTCTATTAAAGGATGTGCACCTACCAGAACACCCGCAGTGTACATTTTTAATTGTAGTAAACATAATCCTGTTTTTACATTCTTTGTGTGTTTTACTCGGCAGAAGCCTCCTGACAGCAATTAAGTGTGGATCTTTCAGTTTCACATTATCATCCACACACAGCGTCTGTGTATTTCCACCAAAGGATTTAAAGTAATCTTGACAGTTGCTCGGCTACAGGAGGTGCATTCTCACTGAGGCCAATGAGAGTGAGAGCATCGCTGCGAGTGATACGAACTGGCATCCTTAGAAAGATGCTATGTGTATGCGTGTCTCGTCTGTGTGCGTGTGTGTGTGTCCTTGTGTTCAGTTAGTGGGGGGATTGAGACAGTGGGTTGGCTGCAGCTGACCCAAAAATAGAGATTATCAAATTGAGTTATTTAAGCGAAACAAAAGCAGTGACAGGCCCATTGTGCTTTATTTAATTGTTGCAGATGGTTCATTTTAAGCTCAGGTGATTCTGCTTTTGTGCTTTGAAAATTATCCACAATGTGTGCTCCAATCAGACTCATTAAAAGACTGTTCAATGTTTAAATAGAATGGCTCTGAATTGTCATTATAACCCTGATTTGTCCATGAATAAAACAGCTTCTTTTTATAGAACGGCCAGGATGAATTCGCCACATTTGGAGCTTTGTGTAAGTGTGCCTCTTTCATTTAATAATGGAAGTGTTCACCCTAATCCCACATACACAAGAGCAAGTGTTTTCCACATTATGTATGCATGCCACATGTTCCCAGCATACATTGTGTGGAGGGGATTGAAGGGGTTACGTGGTGTCAACCAGTGGGAGGGAAGAGGGAGGTGCAAGCGGCATTTCCCCCTAAAAAGAATGAGACCCGGCAGGTAATCGGATTAAAGTTGGTTTCATTCAAATTGAGGCTTTGGATAGCAAGTTCTGCACTTGTTCACCAGTAGCCGTCTACAGCGGACCTCCTCGTTCACAGTGAAGTAAGGACAGCAGCAGAGAACAGTCACCATGCCCACTGATCTGAATGGATATTGGAAAATGATGTCCAGTGATAACTTTGAGGAGTACATGAAGGCTCTTGGTGAGTTATTGGCAGAGGAGAGTGGAGGTCAAACATTTGAAGGTTAAAAATGTATACAAATTTGATATTATAAACATGTTTATAACTGTCTGCTACTCATAAAAGCCTCATCTGTAGATTGTAGTAGAGCAAGACTGCAGAGAGCTAGTTTTTTGTTTGATTTCTCCTATTTTATCAGAACAGTTTGGAGCATAGTGCATATAGTTTCAATACTTGATTGCTTTAAATTTGCTTCAAGGTAATGACTACATGAACCATACTTCATTAACAAGATCAATTAAAAAAACACATGAATAAAACTGTCTTTAAATCAGTACATGTTTATCTGAAACCGTGTAAATGCATTTTGAAAAATCCTGTTTCTTATGGTCCTGTTTCTTTTAACTTTCCTTTTTTGGGCGGCTCCTGTTGCAGATGTAAATGTAGCCATCAGAAAAATCGCCAACTTGCTGAAGCCTGACAAGGAAATCGTCCATGATGGGGACCACATTATCATCAAAACCCTCAGCACTTTCAAAAACTACAACATGGACTTTCACGTGGGCAAGGAGTTTGAGGAGGATCTTTCCGGAGTGGATGACAGGAAATGCATGGTGGGTATTTGGACTGAGGTACCAAGACAAGATTAAATACAAGTTATATTGATGTTTGAAACTGTTTTTACAAAGTTCTTCAACCACACATTTAGAGTATGTACTCAGAAGTGCATCGCTACAGTTTATTTTTAACATCTTACCCTTGGACTTTTCTGCAGAATTTAACAAGCATATGATGTGCTGGAATATGGCCTCTTCACCTGCTTAGAAAAGTTTCCTCAACATTTTTAAACTCTTCTTAACAATTTGACTCAATGAAGGCTAGTGTCAGATACTGCTGGAAAGAACACACAGACTCACATTTATTTAATCCAAAATATGTCCCTGAATTCTAAATAGGATGTAAGATTATCCGTGGTGGTGCTTGACCTTTTTTGTGTGCTGATTATAGATAATCTATAATCTGTTTTTAAGGGTAAACTCAGAGTAAGGGTCACGTCTGTGTGAGTTTGTGCAGATTATATTGAAACACTGTTTATAGAGGGCTGGTTGGGGAAAGACTGCATATAGATATATAAATGAGTTTACACATTTTTAATGTGAAAATCCATCACATGTTGTTACATCTAAAATAAATCCTGCCCTGGTGTTTCCTGTATTACATTGACATTTTCTTCATGACCTTTGATATGCAGACCACAATCACCTGGGAGGGAGACAAGCTGGTGTGTGTGCAGAAGGGAGAGATTGAAGGTAGAGGCTGGACCCACTGGGTGGACGGAGATGAGCTTCATCTGGTGAGAAAACATCAGCTCCTGACGTGAATAGTAATGATCGCAATTTGGACACTTTAATCCAAATCCAGAACGCCTCCCAGCACCGTATGTGCGGTGCATATATTTTTATGTGTGACAGACTTGCAAATTGGCCCTCATGCTGCAGAAGTAATAACTGAGTGAGTTGCATGCACACTATCTTTGGAAGTATGTGGATGTGAGTCATGCACAGCCAAATAAGTCATATTATTTTGCTTAAGAAGAACTACCTCAAAAGGGAAAGGTAGCGTTATATTTTTTACTCGATCCCCCTCTGATCAAACAAAAAGATTGATTGAAGATTTTACAAAAGAAAAGGATTTTTATCGATCATGAGAGGAAAAACAATTCAGATCTGCTTCTCATTCATCTCCTAATCCTTAGACTCCTGCTGATTGAGCACACATCATCATCATCAGCCTCCAACATCTTGACTATTCCAATTAAATCTCAGTTACAAGGACTTCATTATCTTCTTCTTTTAAACAGCTCCTCTTTGAAATTCACAGCGTGGCCCATAATGGAAGTAAAGCCTCTGAAAGTACTTTAAAGTAATGACTTGGGCATTAACATTTTCATTAGCTCAGCATTATCAGATTTTCCTCTCTGTGATTACTGCTGTAAAAGCAAAGCTCAAATAATCTGCCAAATTATTTTGCTAAAATGATGCTAGCAGATTTTTTTTTTTCTGATCAACACCCGTGAAATTAGTTGGAAGCTCTGAGGAGCTGGAGGAGGGGTTAAATATAGAGCAACAGCGGCCTCTAGTGGCAGGGAATACCCTTCAAGGCTAAAGGGTAAAAGGGTTAGGAGGCATACCTGAAAAACTACATTTTTCCCTCAGAACTCTAAAGAGCTTCACATTCATTTTCTTCATGTTTTTTTTGTGTGTGATTGAATGATTCAGTTATGAAATTTTTGAATTTATGATCATTTCACCCCTCTTATTTTCTTTTTTTTCCAATGTATATTCTGAGTCTGTCTTTTTTTGTCTAAAAACACTAATTTGTCTTCTGTTGTCTGCAGGAGCTGAGAGCTGCAGGGACTGTTAGCCATCAGGTCTTCAAGAAGTCCTAAACTGGTTCTTGTACTGAGCTGGACGGTGCCCCCAGCTGTGATTTTCTCACAAAGTCCCAACAGTCAAATCCAACATCCCTTTGGGCACACATACTTCTTCTCCGTCCAAAAACCTGATCAGTATTTTTTGTCCTGGAGAGAATGTTATTACTCCATCAATTGTTGCCTTACTCTGCCTAGATGAATGAATGTACAGCATAATAAAAGGCAGGTCTAGGCGTGTATCATATATTATCTCTAAATACTAGGCTGTATATCTGTTGGACGCATGCATACTGTTCCTGTAGGTGAAGTGTATTTCATTTGGTGAGCTTGTCTGATGGAAAAGTAATGGGGAAAGTGAGGAGAGCTGCAAGTACACAAATTAAAAGGGTTGATCCCATTTAAGCTCTCGAATGATTGCTATGGAGTGAAAAGATGAATGTTCGAGTGAGTTTGAAGGTTTTAAACTCCTTCTCTCAGTCTGCATAATGGAAATCAGTTATGACATGTACATATTTATCCTCCTATTGTCTCTGGGACTCCATCATTAAAAGTCAAATGAATGAATCAATAAAGTAAAGAGTGCACTATAATGTCATTTGTCTTGTGTTTGTCAGGCTTGTTTTGTATCAAATACAGGTCAAAATGAAATGATTTATGTTCACTTCAGTTTCATAAACTAACAGATCAGGTATTAGAAGCTGCTTCTGTCTGAAAATTCCTCTCAAGACATGCACTAAAACTCGAAGGGCCTCTATTTGAGAATTTCAGAAAGTGAAGTGAAGCCTGCAGAGCTTTAGTCAGACAGCTGCAGCCCTGCTGTGCTCTGAATCAGCTAATCTGTCGGCTCACTTCGTTCATCACCATTTCCAATTGGGCAGTCTTTATAAGCTGTCCAGCTCACTTGCTCATTCTTTACTACTGCTGCTGCTCGCCCTGCTGTTCTGTCTCCCTCTTCTTTATGTGCATTCATACCCTGCCACCTGCCCTGCTTTTATACCTGCAGGCTCTGTTTATGCATGCTTCTCCAGGGGATTGTTATTGATCCCTCTCTGCCTTGACTTAAGCTGGTTTGAGAAAATTATGCACTCAAGTAAGGGTCGAAACAGAAGTTTGGCACCAGAGAAAATCTGCATTTAGTCTCAATGAAAAGTTTCTACCAAAAGAATAGATCATTGCTGACAGTCATTTACTCAAATTTCTTGTGGATTTGCAGAAATGACAATAAAGGTGTTGTTTCACATTGGTCTGCTGAACACAGAAACTTTCCTTAACCACTTCTGTAATGTAGTAGTTTAAATTTCAATCCAAAATCATATGATTTAAAGCTCCTGTGAGGAGTTCTGAGTTCTTAGCTGGTTATGAAACAAACTGAAATTAATACTGATGTCTCTTTATGAACTACAAAAGCAAACACGACCATCAGATTAATGTTTTAAACTGCTGCTATGTAGACCTTTACTTTTTCCACTACAGGGTTCACAACGAGGGATACATTAGTATGTTAAAAGAGTTCAGGATGAGCTTGTTTGTCATTTAAACATTACCTACACTCACAGGAGACAAGAGGAACTGCTTTGTCCACAGGGCTGCGCCAAAATCACCACAAACTGAAAGATCCTCCAATCTTGACTTTTAATTCGATGTGGTTAAGCTCTGATATTAATATCCAAAATAAGCTAATTTATTTATATTAGTTTCATGTATAGCTGTTTACACCCTGCATATCTGCAAGTAATCATTGATGGCCACAGATAATTATTAGAAGGTTGAAAGTCTTGACATGAGTACACTGTGGACGTTCATGAACTTCTTTTAGCAGCCAGTGTCAACATTGGCAGAGATAGTTCAATTCAGAGCAAATATACATGTAGCAGTAAGTATTGCTTCACAGCCATGATTTAGCTTTGCATTCATAGTCTGAGACCAAATAGATGAATCTAAGTTAATGCCTCATGCGTATAACTGGTAATGTGATATGGATAGCAAAGTGATTTGTAACACACCATTAATTGACCATTTACAATTGATTGTTTCAGATGAGTGCCTTTTGATTCTTTTTCTAAAAAAAAAGAAGCCCAATACTTGGAAATAAGAATGGAAGATTGATATGTCCTGCACACACTACACTTTGAATGGACTGTTAAGGAAGTTGAAGACACCATGCGCCCAGCAGTTTGTTTTACTTGATTTATTGTAATCCCTGATTTTGTGACACCAGTGGTATGTGGTGGTCATGCCAACAGCATTAGATTTGGAAGTTATTAGTTATTAGATTAGTCTTTAGGCAAAAAGCTGTTTAGTCCAGCGTGGGAATGGTGGACTATACCATTAGCAATGCGACATTATGTAACTTGTAGAAGGGCAATTAAAGTAGCATCGCAGGGAGAATAGATTATTTTCATTCATTCTCTAACAGTTTTGGTTTGCTTTGATTAAAAAAATCTCAGGGGTCAACCTTTTAGATCATAATACTTACAGTATATATTAAGAGATTATTGAATGCACATTTAAATATACATTTTATAGCAGTAAATATGAGAGTTAATTGAAATAAATATATACAGAAAGTGATATTCACTGTGCATAAACATCTGTTTTGTTTACATTTGACAATATATTGAAAAATGCCTCTTTTTTAACTGACCAGTTGAACTATATTAACCTTCACGCTTAGTGTTCCTGGTTTCTGCTTGAGTTTGAGCTTGCACAGTGTACAGACAAGTTCAAATAAAGAGTACACACTGTTGGCAGACGTTACAAAATAGCTTCTCCTATCTGCACATTGAACACTGCCCATCGTAGTATAGTGTCTGCATGTGTGCATAAAGAAAAGCTCTTGTGATTGGTGTGTAGTGGTGTGTGTGTGGGGGTGTGTGTGGACCCTCATATATGCCCTTTCTCCCCCAGTGATCGTGTAAAGACTGAAAGAAAAGAGTGAGTTTCCCTCCTCCCTCCTCAAAAACAACTGACCCTACCAATCCCTTTCAAGCCATAAACTCACTTATCAATCCTTTCCTGCCCTCATGCCCCATGACTCATTTAAAAGCAGGACCATTCCTTGCATCGTCCCCCTACTGGCACTTTTTAAAAGTCTACACACAGCAGTGTCACCAGCTTCCAGTATGCCTGCAGACTTCAATGGGAGGTGGATACTCGAGACCAGTGACAAGTTTGAGGATTATTTGAAAGTCCTGAGTGAGAAACGTTTAATTTTTGCTCTGAGATCTCTTACTTATGTCTTAAAGTAGTGCAAAAGAGTAATGTGACAGGTTGAATGACCACAAAATGTAATAGAATCATACCATTTCATGCTCATTCAATCTTTTTGCAAAGCGTGTTTCTGATCTTGTTACTGTTATATCTAACCTGAAGCTAGTGCAAAAAAGCTGTCAACTAAGGCAGACATTTTATAATAAGTTCTTAAGTATCAAACCGTATCAAATAGTATCAATCAATGATGTCGGATTTCAAAATCATGCAGAGTCTTCCTCATTTTGAATAATCATGGACAGTAATCAAGACCATATTTTCAGGATCAACTTTAACCTTTTCTAATCCATTAAAACAGCCCGAAATTATATTATCACTCTCAATCTTCTTTTTCTGGCTCTAGATATCGACTTTGCTACGAGGAAAATTGCCATTTCCCTATCTCAGACCAAAGTAGTCACTCAAAATGGAGACAAGTTTGACTTCAAAACACTGAGCACCTTAAGGAATTACGAGCTCTCCTTCACCGTAGGGGCCGAATTTGATGAGTACACCAAGGGACTGGACAACAGAAATATCAAGGTAGGTTTGACCTCACATTTAGAGATACAAGGGTTGAGAAGATTTATTGGATGAGTTAATATTTCCCTGTTTTCTTGCTGCAGCTGATAATGAGGCTGATGTTATCTAACTGTGCCTGAGGGCAAAGATTGCGGTCTGTGGTCTCTGTGGACTGAAAGCTACAGTAGATGACTGATGATGAAATGAACAGAGATTAGAGATGATGCACTTATGTTTAATACCAATGAGTGGAGATATTTATTTATTTAAAAAGTCAGCTGGAGAAAAAAAAAAGGCCTTAAAGTATTTAATAAATCCAATTAGTTTGCTGCAGAAAATGATGCTAACAAATAATTTCAAGCTACCTACGGGCATTATTATCCATGCTGTTATTGAGTCACATGGAAACTAGAAAATGTGAACGAAATTGCTGATTTATTCTTGCATTAAATTAATGAAAAACCTGGAGTTAAATGAAAATTAAAGCATCAACAATAATAAGGTAAAATGCATTTCAATGTATTGAACGTGTTTAAAGTGTGTGTTCAATAACTGTTAAACTTTATATTCATATTGATTAATGGAAACGATTTCAACCAACCAGTTTCACTCATTGCATATTGTTACACGTCAGCATGACAGCAATCCTAAACTCATTAGCCTTAATGGTAGCAGTAACCTTTAGCCTCCAGAAGTAGAAACAGTAAGTGGAAAATTCATCAGAATAAGAAAAACATACATTAATGACTATGATTACAGTAATTGTTAAATGAATCTTGTCTTACAGAGTCTGGTGACCTGGGAGGGGGACAAGCTGGTGTGCACGCAGAAAGGAGAAAAGGCAAACCGTGGATGGAAACACTGGATCGAGGATGGCAAACTTTGCCTGGTGGGTTGGCGGTATCTGACATGTTTTTGTGTTTTGATTTAGATTTTTGTGTTTGTAACAAGAACATGGACGGATGTGCTTGTAAAGTTGTAATAACCGTTTTAATTATGAAATTATGCTCATTTTACCCCCTTATGAATTCAACTCAATTTTCCTCCCACAGGAGCTGACGTGTGAAGATGTAATTTGTCTTCAAGTGTTCAAAAGAAAAGACTGAACGCATATTTCTGTTTTCATTTACTTGGTTAAAAAGGTTTTTGTTTTATCCCAAATAATATGTCTTCCTTAATGTATGAACCAGATGAAAAAAAAATAAAGGTGCTTTTCAGATAATGTGTCTTCCTGTGTGCGAATAAAAAGGACAAACCTATGAGGCTAAGAATATGTACCGACTTGGACATTGGTCAAAATAGGTCAAACAGTACAATGAGCAGATTTTTTAGAAGAGTTATTTAACATCTCATTTGGATTTCTCTCCATCCTGAAATACATAATTGTTACCAAAGTGGATTATTTCATAAAGCAGTGGTGAAATGCCATCTGTTGGAATAATCTGGTCACATGGAGATGAGATGAGCTATAATTTTTAATCAACGGATCTAAGCCTCTAAGAATAAATCTTAACACTATCCATTGACCCTTACCCTAAATAACCAGAAATAAACCCCCCAAAACTTAGTGCAATTACCCCTACTTACATTATTATCGTTATTGCTGTTGATAATGATGATGTTTTCGTCGTCGTTTTGGGGATGGGGGGCAGTGTGTCACTCAAATATTTCTCGTTTTGTCAAGACCAAGTTTGTTTTAAATGTGCGGCAATTGCACGGTCCTCATTTTAAACAACCCATCTATAATACAAACAAGACCTTTTTCTCAATATTAAGATATGTATTGGGGTTTCATTCATTTTACGGACTAAAATGATTGCACTGTAATTCAGTCGGATTTATGATAGTGTAGTAGGCCTATTTGAAAAAATTAAACCTATTTTCGGTAACCCCTAAACTTCTGAACAGGAATGAAGTGGTGTGATGGGCCTCTCAAATGCATGAGTCAGTGCTGCGAAATCTCAAGAAACGCTGCAAAAGAATCAATTAGAAATCTAAAGATATTTTAGTAACATGGTGTAGAAACTTGTCAACCGTGGAAACTGACAACTCAAAGCCTAATCGTGGCAGCTCTGTAGTTCTAACCTCACAGATGAATGACTGTCATGTCACGTCACCACTCCCGAGCGCAGCTATCGCGAGATTGAGTATCAGGAACTTCCACGTCAGTATCATCCAGTGCTCTGTTCACTGAAGTCGGAACGTTTGGACAACACATCGTATTTATCGGGTTTTATTGCGACAACACGGGGATTAATCATGGTAAGAGGCTAATTAAGCAATTCTTAGTGCGTTTTGTTTCCTCACCTGTCATCCAATTGTACTTATTACAGAGTGCAACAAAGTAAAAATAATGAGCTATTCTTGTAAATAGCATAGCATAGCTACCTAGCTCAAGTTAGCATGAGAGCTCTTTGCTGACGGATATTGAAATTACATACGATGGCTGCTACCAAATGTAATGCGTGTTGTAGACAGTTGTAGTGATATTATCGTGGGATGTAAACACACAGGGCCTCTTAATTATTTAAATAAACAAGGAACAATGTAGCATGGCAAAGGTTACACTAGCCTGGCTAACTCTCATACTATTCCGGTTTCTTACCTTGACACTACAAAGCTGTTGTCATCTGACTGAATGTGTCCACAGAGCCCACATCTATAGATACGTTGATCAATGTTTTAATGTCCTTTCAGCCTCTGAGGCTGGATATCAAGCGGAGGTTGACAGCCAGGTCGGACCGAGTGAAGAGTGTGGATCTTCACCCGACAGAGTCATGGATGCTGGCCAGTCTTTACAACGGAAGTGTGTGTGTTTGGAACCATGAAACACAGGTGTGACCGCAATTCAACGCACCATCCATACATCCATACATCCATACAGATATTCACACAATTTGACAAGACTACTGCCTTAACATCAACACTTTAGTTGCGAAATGTCCGATCACAGACTAATGTGACAAACACATTAGGAGGAGCATGCTGGATATCCTTCACAGGGCAATTGTTTCTTCTTTTTTTCCCAGACTCTTGTCAAGACCTTTGAAGTGTGTGACCTCCCTGTCAGAGCCTCTAAGTTTGTGGCTAGGAAGAACTGGGTCATCACCGGAGCAGTAAGTTGCATCCATTGTTGTGTTGGGATCACGTAGCAGTTAAACAAACAAGTAGTTTAAACTTTATGAGTTTGAATGTATTTATTTTGGGTTTTAAGTTCAATCTTGAGCAGTGTTGGGTCCCTGTTTATATGTAGGCTAAGCATCTGGTATTATTGGTGTTTCTGTATCTCATTGTGTTAGATTCAAACCTCGTGTCGTTACTCTATACTTGGGTAATGACAATAAAGTTGGATCTCATCTCATCATCTCATAACATAAGAGCATGTTTTTAGTTTTACTTTTTTGGTACTGTTTTGTTAATTATATGAATACCCACTGATCTGTGAATTCAGCGAATATTCAAACATGTATTTTCCCCTGCCTAGGATGACATGCAGATCCGTGTGTTTAATTACAACACCTTGGAGCGGGTTCACATGTTTGAGGCCCACTCAGATTACATCCGCTGCATTGCAGTCCATCCTACCCAGCCCTACATCCTCACCAGCAGTGGTACACTATCATACGAGACTCTCTGGATTTATCAGTTACAAAACTTAAGATATTACAGTGTCCTAAAATCCTCACACATGCACAAATGCGTTTCTGTATTTTCTGCACAGATGACATGTTGATCAAGCTATGGGACTGGGAGAAGAAGTGGTCATGCAGCCAGGTGTTTGAGGGTCACACTCACTATGTCATGCAAATAGTTATCAACCCCAAGGACAACAACCAGTTTGCCAGTGCCTCCCTGGACAGGACTATTAAGGTTTGGATCACTGTACTGATGCTAAATTAAAGTAGTTGTTTGGAAAATGCCACAGGACATCTAGATCCTACTGCAGTACTGAAGCTTTAATGTCCACAGTAAAGCTTATTCTTACATTACATATGTTTAAAATGAATGGGCTGTGAAGTGCATTCAATGACTCTCTGTCATGTCATCTGGGTTGTTTCAGGTCTGGCAGCTAGGCTCTTCATCTCCCAATTTCACTTTGGAGGGCCATGAGAAAGGAGTCAATTGTATTGATTACTACAGCGGAGGGGACAAGCCTTACCTCATCTCAGGAGCTGATGACCGCCAAGTGAAGATCTGGGACTACCAGGTTAGTACCATTATGAGATTCTCAATATTTGATCCTGGATTTGATTACAACTTTGACTGGGTGAATTCTAAAAGATTTTCCTTTAACTAATAAAATGCCCAACATATAGTTGACTAAAGAGTTCATAGTATTGAAAAATAATGCATGCATTCCTAATAGATCTTCTAAATGAACTCTGTGAATGTCCTTTAACTCTATATATACCTCCTGTTTGTGTTGTAGAACAAGACCTGTGTGCAGACTCTGGAGGGCCACGCCCAAAACGTATCTTGTGTCAGCTTCCACCCAGAGCTACCCATCATCATCACCGGATCAGAAGATGGTGAGTAGGAACCCCACTCATCCTCACCACTTGAACCAGATTGCATCACATCTCATAGCTCATTGAACATCACTATATACAATATGTCCTCCTCTGTCTGTAGGTACTGTGCGTATCTGGCACTCAAGCACTTACCGCCTGGAGAGCACCCTGAACTATGGCATGGAGAGAGTGTGGTGTGTGTCTGGCCTCAGGGGCTCCAACAATGTAGCACTGGGCTATGATGAAGGAAGCATCATTATCAAGGTGAGCAGAAGAAAGAGGTTTTGAGGAAAAAGTGTGTCTCAAAGAAATCTTAAGACACCACAGAAAATCTCTTTTCCTCCTCTTCTTTGTAGGTGGGTCGAGAGGAGCCAGCCATGTCTATGGACACTAATGGAAAAATAATCTGGGCTAAACACAGTGAAATACAGCAAGCCAACCTGAAAGCCATGGGTGACGCTGAGATCAAGGATGGAGAGAGGTTGCCATTGGCTGTCAAAGACATGGGCAGCTGTGAGATCTACCCCCAAACCATCCAACATAACCCAAATGGAAGGTATGCATGCACTTAACAGAGGCATCTTTACTCAATTTTCAATATGATATCTGTTAGAGGAGCTATGCAACCTGTTTTTTGCCATTTTTGTTCACACTAGGTTTGTTGTTGTGTGCGGAGATGGAGAGTATATCATCTATACTGCCATGGCTTTGAGGAACAAGAGCTTCGGCTCAGCACAGGAGTTTGTCTGGGCTCATGACTCATCTGAGTAAGTGTTCTGTTTTGAAATGACTGTTTTGATTTTGGTGAAATACTCCCTGCTGTAGTTGACTGTGACACTGTTTTTATTTACATCAGGTATGCTATCAGAGAAAGCAGCAGTATTGTCAAAATCTTCAAAAATTTCAAAGAAAAGAAATCTTTCAAGCCGGACTTTGGAGCTGAAGGTAATGTTGTTTGTTGCACAATAGACTTGTGGTTTTGGAGGTGGATTTTTGCCACTGTCTTCCTCACTGGATGTGTTCCATTTCTTTCTTTCAGGGATCTATGGAGGTTTCTTGCTTGGAGTGAGATCAGTCAATGGCCTTGCATTTTATGACTGGGAGAATACAGAGCTGATCCGCCGTATCGAGATCCAACCCAAACACGTAAGACTGATTTATCAATAATATGACTTAAGTCTCTGGAAATAAAAAATAATTGTTTAAGTAGAAAAATATTTTTGTCTCAATCTCTCCTTAACCTTTTTTTTTCTCTCTCTCTCATAACTTTTTCAGATCTTCTGGTCAGACTCTGGTGAACTTGTCTGCATCGCTACAGAGGAATCCTTTTTCATTTTGCGTTACATGGCAGATAAAGTAGCTGCCTCTCAAGAAAACAATGAAGGAGTGACTGAGGATGGTATTGAAGATGCCTTTGAGGTGAGTGTGGAGTACACATTTATATTTATGTCATTTTTGGTCTTGTCTATGTACTATTGGATGTTGTGTATGCCCACAAGGTGCCCCCCCCCCCCCCAAATATATTCTTTACTCCATATTTAGAAGCTAGGAGTGTTTCTTCACTTTAAAACCACATCTCACTGTTTCACCTTTGTGTCCCTCCTCCTTGCTTCCAGGTCCAGGGAGAGATCCAGGAGATTGTAAAGACCGGACTCTGGGTGGGAGACTGCTTCATCTACACCAGCTCTGTGAACCGGCTCAACTACTTTGTAGGAGGAGAGATTGTTACTATCGCTCACCTGGACAGGTACAAATACAGATAGTTCGACTTGAATATACGTATATCTGCTTGAATGTTTACTTTAGAGACTGTGAGCACTGTCTTTGTTATCCCAACAACTTTTAAACTTTATGCTGCATCTCCTGCATTCTCTCTGTGCAGAACCATGTACCTGCTGGGTTATATACCCAAAGATGACCGTCTGTATCTGGGAGACAAGGAGCTCAACATTGTCAGCTACTCCCTGCTGGTCTCTGTCCTGGAGTACCAGACAGCCGTCATGAGGAGGGACTTTGGAATGGCTGACAAGGTGCTACCCACTATTCCCAAGGAGCAGCGAACCAGGGTGGCCCATTTCCTTGAGAAACAGGTTAGAAAATACAGTGGGGCTTCAAGATGCAGTATTTTTCGACCCAGCTTGATAAGAGGAATAAACCTTTAGAGCTTGAAAAATTACAAATGTTCTTTCTTTGTCTCATCCAGGGTTTCAAGCAGCAGGCGCTGGCTGTGTCCACTGACCCAGAACACAGGTTTGAGCTGGCATTACAACTGGGAGAATTGAAGATTGCTTATCAACTGGCTGTAGAGGCAGAGGTAAGAGCTTTCTAGATGGCTTTTAAGGCAAATTATTTGGCATCACATTGTGTTTTTCTTCCTAAAACATGACCAGAGATTTGAAGAAAAAAAAAAAAAGACAGAATAATCATATTATTCTCCACCCGGCACATTTCTAACATTTGTCCACCTTTCACCTGCAGTCTGAGCAGAAGTGGAAGCAGTTAGCAGAGCTGGCTATCAGTAAGTGCCAATTTGGTCTGGCCCAGGAGTGCCTGCACCATGCCCAGGACTATGGTGGCCTGCTCCTCCTTGCCACGGCCTCTGGTAACGCCACTATGGTGGGCAAGCTGGCTGAAGGGGCAGAGAAGGACGGCAAGAACAACGTGGCCTTCATGACCTACTTCCTGCAGGGAAAGTGAGTACTGCAACAGTGTAAGGTGGTGACATTTGTGGACACGGGGGGGGGAATACAGAAATTTGTATGGATCACATTGGGGTATGTTGTAACTCTACATATCTTCTTTTCTCAACAGACTGGATCAATGTTTGGAGCTCCTGATCAGGACAAACCGACTACCTGAAGCAGCCTTCCTAGCTCGCACTTATCTGCCCAGTCAGGTGTCCCGTGTGGTCAAACTGTGGAGGGAGAACCTGGCAAAGGTTAACCAGAAGGTTAGTTTGGTTGTCACGGTGATTGTTTATCAGAAATATTACTGCTAAATTCAACTGTTGAAGCCTTAGCTCTCAGAGTAAAATGTATGGATACAGGATCTGTGTTATCTATGCTCTGTAGACCACTATCTATCTATCTATAGCCTACTCTAAAGCTACAGAAAATATGAAAAAATATATGATAACCTCAACCTATTAATTAATACTGTATATGCAAATGTGTAGTTATTTAATTTTACCCATTTATTTTTAATGTTTGCTTATTTCTAAGTTATTATGTTAATCAAGTTTAAAATAACAGGATGTTGGCGTTTAGCCTTAATCTTAATAGTTCTATAATGAATCTTCCTTCCAGGCGGCAGAGTCCCTAGCAGACCCTACAGAGTATGAGAATCTATTCCCCGGGCTGAAAGAAGCCTTTGCAGCTGAGCATTACCTCAGAGAGAGCTGCTTGGGTACCACCAGGCCCGCCAAAGATTATCCTCTTGTCACAGTGAGTTTTTTTTAAATCAATAGATATGGTAGCTGTTTCGTATGCAGACAGTATATTTTATAGTTATCTCACAATCCTATTTTTTGTATATTAACAAACTCCTGCCATTTGTCAGCTCAATGAAGACAGGAATATTCTTGAAGAGGCTCAGGGATATGAGCCCAAAGGAATCTTCATTCCTCATGTCACCAAGGTTGGTTTGGAATATTCACCATTTTTTTTGTTGAGACTATTTTTACAGGGCTCTTCCAAAAGGTTAAGAAGCTAAAAGGACCATCGCTCAGTTATACTCAAACTTTTTCTCTACATGTTTTTATGACAGACTCAAGATAGTGAGGAATCAGTGGCAGCAGCTACTGTTGCTGCAGCAGCAGCTGTGACGTTTGCACAGCCTCAACCTGCTGCTGCCCCAGCAGTGGGCAGAGAAGAGGAGGAGGAGGAGGAAGAAGAGGAGGAGGAAGAAGAGGAAGAACAGGAGGAAGTCGCTGAATTCTCACAGTCAAAAGAAAAGGTTGGAATTCATTTGTCTTTCATTTGTCTAAATAGTGAAATATTGTTTATTTTAAATTAAATAACCATCTACTTCTGTAGCATCTGATGAAATCAGTTTGACTTGTATAACACTATAAATATAAAAAATAACCCAATAATAAAACCTTCCACAGTCTCCTGATACAAAGATAAAAGACTTATACATAACTGGAATGTGTTTTTTATTCTTGTAAAAACTATGTTTCTTTCATGTATGTCTCTATTTAGACTCTGGACGAGCTGGAGGTTGACTTGGACAACATGGAGCTGGATGACATTGATACAACAGACGTTAACCTGGATGATGACTTTCTAGATGACTGAGATCTGCCTGACCACTCTGCATCTGCTCCCAAGCACTATTCAGAGCTTATTTAAAAACAAAGAGAAAGAGACCAAACTCCCTTTTCCCCTTTTTTGTATTTGTATCTTATTAATATTATGTTGTCATGTCAACCTATTGCAGAGACACGGTTCAAGTAGAAGATGATTATATTAAAGATGATGATGATGATGGTGGTGATATGAGAAATGTTTTATTCTGTTAAGAAAAGTAGATACTTCATGTCTATTTCAGACTCCCCATTTTGTACACCATTTATTGATTGTTTGAGATACTTCACTAACTATCCATTAAGCAATACATTGTATTTACTCTCTGCTTTGTGTTGTCTGTACTGGCAAATCAAAAATTCATTCTGTCCAATAAACTGCGGTAGCTGTACATATTCACATTTGACTTGGGTGTTGCATATTAGAAGCTTTAACACACAGTACCAATACTATAGCTTCATGTGAAGCTTTTCAAGAAAAGGCATTTCAAGTGGAATTAATGTTGCACCTTTCAGTAAAGATAATGTTACTTTTTATTTTAGTCATTTCATTATGAAGCACATATTAGCATATAGTCGTAGAAATGCTAAAGGAATGGATTTTCACAAATGAGAACTCATGGTCTTAGATCTCATACAGAATCTGTCAATAGAGATTAAAGCTGTCTTGATTTTCTGATGAAAAATATAAATAATTAAAAGGGCAAATGTATTTGAAATGGGCAATTCAGAGTTCCAACTACCACGTAAAAAATACCTTTAAATGGCCCTTCTATGACACTTACAGATTTAAAAAAAAAAAGGAATAAAGCTATTTTAACCAAATGCATAAATTTACAATTTCAGGGCCATTGGCAATAACCCTACTGTATAACTTCCTGTCCCATTTGCTGGTAGCCTATCTGTGCCTTTGTGAGTATGCCCTCCTCTGTTGATTCGTGCAGTAATGCACTGCAGCAGGACGCTGTCACTCTCCTCCTCTCCTGTGGGTGGCGCCCTACCGAGACAGGCTTGTACGATTCTGTGCAGTTTCGAGTCGTTTCGTGTGCAAGAAAGTACCGAGCTTGGCTGGCAGCTAGCGAGAAGAGAAACCCCTATACCTCTAGCTGTGTTTAGCTTTCCCACGGCTTTGATCAGTTTTACACTTATTTCCTCGTTTCCAGCTGTTTATTACATTACATTAAGTTGAATACAAACTGGAACTTACGCGGTCCAATCGACGGACGGACGCGTTTGGCGAGGGGGCAAGGTGCGTTTTCTAACAGAAAGGCAGGCTCAACATTTGGGAGCTGGCGTAGGAAAGAGAGAGAGCCAGGACTACTCAGCGTGTCGGTTCAGCCGGGGAGAGCCGGGGGGAACCACGGTACAGTCACCGCCAGCGCCACGGGGAGTCGGGGCCCGAGAGGGAGCCTGCCAGGCCCGCGGCTTGATGCACCCTGCCTGCCTCGCCTTAGCCGCAGTCCGGGATGGGGGAGACCAAAATTATATACCACCTCGACGACCAGGAGACACCGTATCTGGTGAAGCTGTCGGTGCCGGCGGACAAAGTCACCCTGGCAGACTTCAAAAATGTCCTCAAGAAGCCAAATTACAAATTCTTCTTCAAATCTATGGACGATGACTTCGGGTAACTGTTACAGGGCTTATTGTGTAGCATCATCTTTTCACTGGTTTTCTCTGCTTGAGTGAAGCTTGGTTGACTCTAGCTTGGTAGTAGCTTCTTCCAGCTGGCGTGTCATCGTCTTTTACTTCACCTGTGTATCGACCTGGAGCTCGCGTCTTGCATTACAGCTCCTTTGTTAGCCGCTAGAAGAGCTCGCAGTGTTAGCAGGGTCCGTTTGTTTACATTGCTTGTGTGGTTAGGTTACACGTATCGCCTTGCCTTTTCTCTCACCAAGTTTGGTATTTGAACACTGGTGAAGGCTCTAAATGATATTTTTAGCGTGTTTTAAATACAATGGGAGCAGGGGCAGTAGACAAAACCACTGATATTAACCTGGTTAGTGACGTTTCTGCTAACAGGCTAACCTCAGGATGTGAATGGCCGGCTTCAGTCAGCTCGTCGCTGGGTGCAGCAGGCCCCTGCTGTTGTTGTCTATTAGCCCGAGGAATGCAGAGTTCAACACAGGAATTCCCTGTTCATCACTCTGGCAGTTTTATGAGCATGTCCTTTTTGTGTTAAAACATGGCTGGAAAAGTAGACGTTTTATAATCCCCCAGACAGTGTGTCCTCTCTTCACAGTAAACATGAGGGTGTGCATTTTTTATTCATTACAGCCATGTTTTCCAAAGTTGTGTTTGGCTTAAAGGCAAACTAGGGTGGGGCAACAACTTCTTAACATTTTCAAGTGTGAAAGACCTATTCTAAAAAGATCCACATCTATGTATGCTGTGAATAGACCATTCTGACTATTCAACAATTATTCTGGGGGGGGGGTGAGGGGGTTAAACCTTTACTCCAACCTATGGTATAGATCAAGACAACCTGTCAGACTGGTATAAACATTGGTTGTCAAAATATTTACCTCAAAGACTTTCAAAGACAGTCTCGCTGAACATCACCATTCAATTCTTCACTGAAAAGAACCGCTGATTGTGTATGTGTTGTCAAGGTAACATCTGACATCTGATTCTCTGAAGGAAGCCGTCTGTCTGGGAGGGTTTTCTGGTAATTCACTCAGTGAAATTGGTAAAAGGTTGCACAAGAAAACTTTTAATTCCCTGTTTTTTTTATTGACAATAATAAGAGCTTTTTTTTTTTTTTTTACCAGATAATACCAACACTTCTTCTTTAAAATGTACAAACACATTTCAGTCTGACTTGTTGTAATGTAGCAATGTTGGCTGGCCCCTACTATTTGGGGATTTTGTTAAACTGTTAAGTCTTGATTGGCAGATCGTGTGTTTGAAGCCAAATTGTAAATAGTTTCTAATCTACATACATAAGATTGTTATACACTTAAGCAGGCAGAATTGTTACTTTTTCCCTTTGCTGCATTAGATTATCATTTTTTTTACCAACCTTACCAGCTAGCTAATTCTGCTATCAGCTTCACATCACCAAGAACCATTTATATAGACAATAATTAACACTGATATTTTCTTTAGGCAGTGTTGGATTTTCCTAATTGCCTGTGTGTAAAAAAAAAAAAAGCTGTGAAAATAGTTGTAGTAGGTGTGCTATATGAGGTGCACTTGTTTTTACGGTTGTCACTATCTGTCCTGGGTGATGGAAGTATTGCCCAGCCTTATCTTTTATTGCCCTGAGAGTGCTTTTATGTTGGTTGGGGTTTACTGAAACAGAGCTTTGTTCTCTTTACAGGGTGGTAAAGGAGGAAATATCTGACGACAACGCTAAGCTGCCCTGTTTCAATGGACGTGTGGTGTCATGGGTACGTTCAGAATATATCCTGGGATGATTTTGTGTTTGTTCATTTTTTATTTTTTGTGTTCCCTTTTTTTTTTTTCCACTCTGTTTGTGTGGTATTTGGCAACAGCATGCATGCGTTTATAACAATGACTCCCATCTGTTGACTAATGATCCCAACCATTCTCTGTCTCCAGGGAGAGACGCTCTGCAGCTCTGTGATAATGTTATTATCACATAATGATCCTAGAGGCAACAGACACAAGCAAACACCCTTATATGCTGCCTTGCTTTTTAATTTCTAAGCACTTCTTAGAGAATTAGAGCTGTAGTTGCATAGTTTTAATGTAATAGCCTTCAATTTAAAGTCCCTCCACATACTAGACTGAACCTTTCACATCCATGTACATGGACTTGCACGCACTACCTCATTTCGAGGCTCTGAGCAATAATTCTCCTGTCTCCATAACACAAGAGACATCTGGTCCCGGTGCACAGCCTGCCTTCCTTTCTCATCGACATTGGAATTGGATTAAGAGCAAGTGAAATCACAGGATAGTAGGAAAAAAAAAACCCAATAACAAAGAGCCTCACTGCGTGCCATCTACCAAGAAGATTAAATCTCACAGGAGGAGGAGAAAAAGTTGAAAGAAAGAGTGTTCTGTTTCTTGACGTAAAAGGCTGCTGATGCCTTCGTTTAATTTAGCACAGTGTGGTTGTAATTATAGGTTTTATTTGAGAGCCATCAACAAATTGCTATCACTAGGTGTTTGTGTGTGTGTTATCCAGTGTGCATGTCCTTATGTGTCCCTTTGTTATGGTATTTTTCATTTGTGTGTGTGTGTGTGTGTTGGAACATGTTTTATCTCCGGGGGGACATGGAAATGTTCCATGTGCAGGGAAGAGTTATCTCTGTTATAGGTCTTACATTTATTTGTCTTGACTGTTCATCTGTTATTTGGATGAACTGATTGATGGCTCTCGTGGGTGTGGAGGCCTGTTTCTTTAGCACCACATCATAACGGGCCAGTCCCCACAATCTGGTCTGTTGTACATTATTTTGTCAGCTGAAAAACAGATTTCGTCTTTCACAGTATGTTTTACACCTCGTCTTAGTGCTCCCCTCCTGAACTAAAGTAGCCCCTGTGCAAACTAAGAATAAAACATTAGAAAGTATAAACACCTGGTGCATATTGGATAAAATGATATAAAGACAAATGGGATTTTATTTTTTATTTAACCTTTATTTAACCAGATAAATAACCCATTGAGATCAGGATCTCTTTCACAAGGGTGACCTGGCCAAGAGGGCAGCAGCACACGACAAAAAAAGCTTTACATGATAAAGAGACAGTTTACAAACAATAAGTTAGGAGAGAACAACAATTTACAATGTGCAAAATTGATTTACAGATAAAGTGCAGAATCGTATCACAGATTACAATTCAGAAAAGAAAGAAATATACATGATATATTTTCAGTGTCCTGGACAGCATATTTGGTTGCTGGATGGGTCCCACTTGATTTTTCTGATATTAATCAGATATCTTTAGACAACCCTGTCACACCAGAACCCCACCATTCTTATTGTTCATGAATTGTCATGCATTTACTGACACTGGTTAAAAAAAAGCCTGTTTCAACCTTTTTTATCTCTTCATTTTCTTTTAAATTTTCCACCACAAGTAAAAAAGCATTCAGTCTGAAGTGGTTAGTCAATAAAACACTAAATGATGTGAGCTCCTCAAATCTTTGTCGTGGACGTGGAGTCTAAGAAGCTGAACGTGTGTTTAATCTTAGGCCCCAAAAAAAAGAAGAAGAAGAAAACAATTGAGATCATCACCATGAGCACTTTGTAGTCTATTCCAATTCATAATACAGTAATAAAAACAAATGTTACTAATCAGCCCAAGGGCTCTAGGAGAATTCTTCTATTTTTTTTTAGCCTGTTGGGTGTGGTAATGCAAACAAGGAATGTGTGCCTGCTGTGTAGAAAGTGAAATCAAACTAAATTCTTTGCACTGGACAACGGT